GCATGGGGACAAACTAATTTATCTGAAAGGTAATAAAGGAAGTTCTTACCTAAAAATAAATGTCATAGAGTGCCTTAATTTTAGATTACATTTCTCCTTAATCTTTTAAACCTGAAATTCTTTGTGGTTCATATGTATGAGCCTTGCTCCTTGAATGTAGATGATGGGCATTATTCCTTCTTTTGCATGTGCAGTGCCTAGGTTCCCATTAAATGTTTATGAAATAGCAGAATATAAATATTTTGTTAGTTTTTAAGAGTTATTGCTGAGCACGGTGCTCTGTCATGGCACATTTTCTCTCCAATAAGTAGATGGGTGGGTTGCTTGTGTACCAACTAAGAAGCACTGCAAAGGCAGGTTATAAACTGAATTTAGTCATGCTTGTCCATCCATTAAAAATTGAGAAACTTCATCTTCAGTTTAAATTTCTGGATTCCTTTGAAATTTCTGAAGTTGTGGCACAGTTTGGTTCATAGATCCCCACAATAGCAATTGGCTAAGGCCCAGGAGTTGCTATTCCCATTAAACAGGGCTCCTTTTCTGCTAGTCACCATTAATAAAATGTGATTGGTTCCATGTTGGGTTGCATGTGGAAGCAGATAAATGCACTGAATCCCCTGCATAAGATTCTAGGCTGACTTCGCTTTTTTATTTTCTAAACTGGCCTGTGGAATAGGCCCTGCTTTAGTTTGCACCTGGAGCATCCCACAAAGGTTCACTTGTTAAAGGCTTTATTGTCAACTTGTGGTGCTATTGAAAGGTGCTGGAACCTTTAAGGGGTGGGGCCTCGTGGAAGGAAGTTAGGTCACTGGTGGCATGTCTCAAAGGTGATATTGGGACCCCAGTCCTTTCTTTATCTTTCTTTTGCTTTCCAGGCACCATGAGGTGAACAATCCCCCTTCACTTGTTGAAACCATGATGTATGATGCTGCCATGTGGCCCAAAGCAACAGGGCCAAGTGACCATGTTCCAAAACCTTTGAAACTACCAGCCAAAATAAATCTTTCCTCCTTAAAAGCTGATTTTCTTAGCTATTTTGTGATACCAATGGAAAACTGAGTAACATAGGCCCTCAAGATTGGGTTACAGCATTTGGTATGCATTTCTATTGCTGTTGGACTTGAATGAGTTAAAGATCTAAGGGTGAGCTTAATTGTTTTTTCCCAGCCCCACACACAAAAAAAGAAGGCAAGACTGTAAGTACTGGACTTGGAGCGAAGCTAGTGTGCATATTCCTAGTACTTCAATGTGGCTCCAGTGGGAATTGAGCAGGATCCAAGCACTAAATAACCCTAATGATATCGGGTAGGAGCTCATCAGGGAGCTGTTCAAGAGTTTGTCAGAGCATATTAAAATACAATACATTCACATAATCAAAAAAGGTACATCAGTCCATCTGTCTATACATTCCTTTTGATATTAACTTTATCCAGGGACTTTTCAAAATTACATCATCTACCCATACCCTCTTCTTTAGTGTATAAAAATGTGGACAGAATGAAAAGAAAATCAGAATAATGTACATTGGTGTAAGTCCTGTAATTGAAATCATTATTGCTTAAGACACCGTTGCTTTAATCAGCTCTATCATAAATCAATGCTTTGCACTAGTGAAGGTTTAAAATAAAGTGCTGTTAAACAAATTGGGCCTCTTAAAAGGCATGATGCAATTGGAAAGACACTGAAAATGAATAAAAAAGTGCTTTCTGAATTGATACGCTGGTTCTAGCATTTTATCTTCCACTTAATTTAAAAAAATATATTACCTGGTCCTTTCTTAGAAATTACATATTGGAGGTCTATAATGGCCAAGACTTTAACCCATTAAAAAAATTTACTCCCAGGAACAGTTAATATTTGACATTTAATTGCTTTTTCTTGTTGGAGGAAAAAAAAATATGTTTCTTTCCTTCCTTTCTCGATTGACTTTCCAAAAATCACCTTCTGAGCTATAAAGATGGAAAAGAGTAATTGATTTCAAAAACTCAAGTGCATTTATGTGGGTATGCATACACATGTGTGTGTATGTAAATAATATCTCCAAAGTAGCAGGAGCTGGTTCTTCCCTCCCAACAACTCTGCAAGGCAAGGTGTTATGACTGCTGTTTGATAGCTATGGTGACAGAGGTCTAGAGAGGCTACAGAGAAATTCAGACATGAGAGTCTTTATTCCATTACCACTTTGCTGGCTTCTGGGTGTACTTCACACCCTGGCATAGAGATGTTTATGGAGCCATGACAGAATGCCATCTCAATGGTTCCTATCTATCTATCTTCAGGCAGCTAATTTTTTTCAGCTTATAATGGGATTTATCTTATAATATAATCCCATCTACAAATGTTGATGGGCAACTATGATTTGAGCTTTAATGTGAGTCCTCTATTTAATGGAGCTAGGAGAAGCCCTGGAACCACTTTATATCTATAATATTGACTTAAAAGAGATTTATCATTGTAGTTTTGTCTGGATGACCCAAGGAGGTTAGTCCTCTTACCTTTGGAGCAATGCCTATACGGACTTCAAACAAATTTTCTGGCCCCTCCTCATGACTTGTTTTAAGACATAGAGGAGATCAGTTGGAAATTGGTGTGGAAACAATGAGGAAAACCATTTGTTTGGTTTCCTGAAGTTAGAAAATTTCCATTTCAACATCATTGGCCTCTCCCCTTTCTGGTGCAGCAAATTCACTACCAAAGGTCAAAGGGTTCTCTTGCATTCTTTTATTTTTTTCTCTTCCCACAAAACCAGGTAGTATTTAGTCTCTTGAAAAGCTGCACAAACCAACTGTTCCTCTACAGATTATCCCTTTCAGAGCTCAGGTGATATGCCTCATTGGGTTACACCTCCTGTGACTTGTGGTCAGATGGGGCTGTGTCATTCTGCATTATTCTATCTTGCAGGAAAATATTTACATGTTGGCTCCACCAGGTCCCATTTCCCCTGGGAATGATTTTGCATGCACCATCTTCACACTGGTGGTTGAAGTTGAATCACTTGCCTTCATGGGACCAATGGGCATCTGGCAGAAAACCAGAAAGTCAATCTCCCCCTCACTCAGCTGGAAAACAAGTTTACAACTGTAGGATAACATGTTTCTGAGATATGGAGTGCAAATACTCTGAGAAGGCTCTTGGAAGGAAACTGAATAGGGAATGGAAATTTGCACTATTCACAACCCCCCCTCCCCCACCGCCATTATAGAAACAGAAAAGCTTAAGTATGCCTTTTAAACATATTTTCCCTTCCTTTTTTCTTTGTCTTGTCTATTTCGTAAAATTATAATTAAAATGAATAATAATTCTCATTTTTCACAAGGAGTGGTGAAATGGACACTCTTATACTTCTGTGATAGGGTATACTGGGAAAATTCTTTTGGAAACTCATTCATAGTGTTTATCAGGAGAGTCATGAAACATTCATGAGAACAATTATGGCTTAGATGTGAGGTGTCCCCATGAAGCTTATGCATAAGACTATGCAAGAAAGTTTAGAAATGAAATGAATGAGTTATAACAGCTTTAACCTAATTGGTGCATGAATCCACTGATAAGGATTAACAGGGCAGTAACTGTAGGCAGGTGGGGAGTAGCTGGAGGAAGTGGGTCAGTGAACATGTGGCTTTGGGTTTACATTTTGTCCCTGGTAAGCAGAGCTTTCTCTGCTTCCTGGTGCCATATGCCTATCTTTTTTTTTTTTTTCCTCCACTGTACTTTTCTGCCATGATGTTCTGCATAATACTGGGCCCTGAGCTATGAAGTTAGCTATCTATGGACTGAAACCTCTGAAACCACGAGCACCAAATAAACTTTTTCTTCTCAAATTGTTCTTGTTAGGTGTTTTGGTCACAGTGACAAAAAAGCTGACTAAAACAAGAATGATGTAATAATAAGGAAACAGGAAATGCACGGCGAATGCTTAAACATATATATCAAAATGTGCATCATCATCATAATAGAAAACATTTATGTTCTTAACATGTGACAGGCTCTGAGCCAAATGCTTTTAGGCATTGTCTTTAGGTTTAATCTGTACATGGGTTTTGTGTTGTAGGTATTATTATACTTCTATTTTACAAATGACAAAAGAGAGATGTAGGGGGGTTAATTGGTTTACCTGAAGTCACCTTGCTAGTGTGAAACTTCAACCTCATCCCAACTATAGGGTTTTCACTTTTAAAATAACTTGGAATTCCTTATTCTATGTGGTTAATTTTAAGGGAAAAAACATTAATAACAAAAATGTAAGCTATATTCTATAAAAACCACATGAAAAGTAAACAGGAAATCTTAGACCACAAGGAAATAGCTTAATTTGTAAAAGCTCGTCTGTAACCAGTTAATAAAATGATTTGTTGCTATCTGAAGCAAATTAAATGTTTCAGGTCTTTCCTCTGGATGAGAGTCATATACTATAGGAATGGTTGTTAGCTAAGAGAATCTAATTGTTATTCTGCCAATTTAAAAAAGGTCCAAAGAACAAATCTTGCATGTAGGTCCAAATGACTTTGAAAGGATTTCATTCAGATTCATTTGGGAATTTCCTTTTGGAATGGGACCTAGACCAAGATTTCTTAGCTTATTTTGTATGAGAATGTATCTGAAAATATTAATAGAATCTGTGGGTTTTTTTTCCTGTTCAGAAAAACCTCTATATTAACACATCTTGATGGATATATGTTGACTTTCATTCAAGGATCTTAGAATTTTTTTAGATTGGTGGCTGGCTTGAGGGATTAAATTAAAATTTCCCTTTCTGTCTTGGCTTGCAGACTGTTTTTCATAATACAGTTTGGTGGATGTTCTTTTTCTAATAAGTCAAGCATGCACACTTTCTTCAGAATATTGTCAATACTTGGACGACTAAAGATTATAAATTAAGTGACTATAATGAATAATTTAGTTTCAACATTTTCATTAATATGATATAATGTTATTATAGAACTTGTGTCCAGATACTTGGCTAAAAACTGCCTCTTTTTTTTTTTTGTTATCCTATTTAGGGTTAAAAAAATGTATGGCATACATTACCAAGAATCAAAGATTGTGCCTGGCAGCATAATTGACTTTGTGACAGAGAGAAGCTGAGCAAGGTGAGTAGACAGAATTATGAATAGCAGTTTTTCTTAGCACAGCTGTAGAGATATATATTTTGATAAACACATATGTATTAAGTGGATATGCATAAGGCAAAGAGTTAGATGGACTCAGAAAATGGGTGGGTTTTTGCTTTTGCATTATATGCAGTGCTCAGAGAGCCTTCAAGTACCGTTGGCTGTGCTACTAATAAGACTATAGCCAGGGCATGCTTTCATTCCATGAAATATTTTCATCAACTAGAAGAGGGAAATTATTTTTACCCTTTCTGAAATCGAAAATTTCTCAGGTTCTGTTCAGGATTGTTCAAGAAGGAGTCAGAAATATCATGTTTAGAGGTCACTGAGCCATCTACCCTAGGAACTTCCCCTCGGCAGTGGTCTCTCTCTATGTTACAGAAGACAGCAAAAATATAAGTCATCATACATCTGACCAATTATACAATGCTGTATCAACAGGGGGAAATTCCTTCCTCACTTCAGCTGGTGAACAGTTATGCCCTGGAGCTCAGGACGGACATGCCTTGTAACTTTTTAACCTAGTTAGTGTAACTGCCAATATTATTCCTATTCATATAAATGTCTAATCCTTTTTTGAATCTTGCTAGACTATTTGCCTCAATAATATCCCGCGGCAGTGAATTCCACAGGTAGATTATACGCTGCTTTAAAAAGTATTTCCTTTTATTCATTTTAAATTTCTTGCCTTTTAACGTCACAAAATGGCCCTTGCTCTTGCATTAAGTGGCAGGGGATAAAAGCATGTCAAATTAAGCTTTAATTCTCCCAAGCACTCTCTTTGCTATTATTAAAACCTTATCTTCTATATATACTTTCTATTTTAGCAACTGTAATCTTGATTAAATGAGATGATTTAAGTTAGTGGTTTTCCACTACTTTGGACACATCATGGGTGCCAGAAAAGAACCCTTATTAATATTCAATGTCATTTATTGGGCAAATATTTACTGTGCACCTACTTTTGAAGGAAGTGTTTTAATTTTGGAGAGATGGCCTTGAGTAAGACTTATTTAGAAGGACCTAATTTTCTAGAGAAGGAGACACACAGTAAAATACTGAATAAGTATTTGGAATGCCTGGTTTGGGATGATATTAAGTACAATCAGCCCTCCATATCCATGGATTCTGCATTCTCAGCCTCAGCCAGAATTTATTTCTTGTCATTATTATCTAAATAATACAATGTAATAACTATTTACGTAGCATTTACATCGTATTGGTTTTTCTATAGAGGTTTATAGCTCAGATGCAAATTATAGACCATTTTACATAAGGGACTTGAGCATGCTCAAATTTTGATTTCCATGGGGTTTCTGGAACCAACCCCACATGGACACTAAAGGAAAACTATATTGTGGGAAAAATTTAAAAGTTCCTGGGAAAGGATGTCAGGGGCCACATTAGTTTACACCGTCAGAGGTTGACTTTCTGAAAAAGGGATAGTTGAGACTGGCCACCAGTGAGTCATTTATGTGAAATATCCATGAAGGTGAGCTCCAGGTTCCAGGGCAATGCCCAGTAGTTGAGGTTCAATCATTTGTTGAGGCCTGGGTGAGTCAAGTTTGAGAAGGAAAATCTTAGTTTCAGAAACTATCCAGTCAGTGCTCAACCAATCCAGGAGGAGTGTACCTTGTACTGCTGTTTTAACTCCAAAGATTATCAGAGTAGAAAAAGCAAGGGATATAGTTAGTAAGCCTCTTGTTTTAAGATCCAATCATGTTCCCTGGGAACCAGCTGTTTGACCTTGGGTCAATCACCTAATTGCTCTCATGCAAAGTATTCTTTACAAAAATGGGCATATAACTTCTTTTCCTCATGGGGATTGGAGGAGTGGAGGTAAGATTATGTGGAAGCTCTTTATAAGCTGCAAAGGGTGTGAAGATATTGGTTCTTTTTGCAGGATTCGGGTTTTGCCAGCACTCTGTACTTGGGTCTCTCATTCTTTTTTTCCTTCCATCCTTGTTTTCCGAGTACCCTGACACATCCCTTGCCTCTGCTCAAAGTCCACCAGTGGCATCCATGGTACTTAGCTTTCTCTCCCAGAGGTGGGTTAAACAGGGTAGATTTTCCTAAGGGCTTTAAAAATGGAATCAGATGGAGAAGTCACTTGTTGATACTGTGGGATGGATATGGATTTAAAATAATGATTCCTTTTTGTTTTTGCTTTTGTGTGTTCTTATTTATTGCTCTGTCTTCTGGGGCCCAGTCAACAAAACTTCTCTGTACGAAGACAGAGTCCCTGCCTGAAGTTTGAAGAGAGTCTTCCCCAAATCAACACTGGTTGACATGATCTCATTCCCTGTGTTCAACTTCCCTCTCTGCTCCAGAATGGTGGATACACACCATTTCTCACATTGCCTCTTGAAGTTATTCTTTTTAATTGCCCCTTTCTTTCTTTTTTTTTTTTTTTCCTGTTTAGCCAATTTAAAATAGAGGCATGTGCAGCTCTGCATAATAATGTGTTATAAAGGCATTTTAAGGAATAAATTATTAGGATTGTTTACATGCATGGTTCAAATTTACTGGCAAATTGCTTAGGACTCGGTTTTATGATGTAGCTGCCAGTTAGGCTCCTTCTGAATAAGACTCTGAAATAGGAGAAGTCGCCCTTTGCTGTCCCTCACCGGCACTTCCTCTGCCTTGTTCCTGCCCTTTCAACACCTCCCTCCTCTTCCACCCGCAAATAACTCTGTGGAGCTGTCAGGCTTTTTGCACCTTAATGTGAAGACACTTTGTGGGTCCTCCCCAGACCTGCCCCCAACAAAGGTGAGGTGTGCAAAGGAATAAATCTTCAATGGTATAATTTTAGATGCTGTGGCAACTGGGAAGGGCAGCTATTTTTGGCTGTTGGGCTTTCTCCTTGACCTGAGATGATACCGCTTTGCCTGCTGCAGCGTGGCCAGCCAACCCTGCTTGTGGTCCTTTTAGTGACATGTCTGCCGTTCCTGGGAGTGGCTTCTTTCTTTCCTCACTGAGCATTTCTCTGCTCATTTGGAGTTCTGTGTCTTTGTGCAAGGGCATGCATCTATTGACATGTACCCATGTTGGCTTGTCACAGGCTGATACTCCAAGGTGGTGGTCCAACATCTCTGGATGCAAAGTCAGAGGGAACTGACTCCCTTCCACATAGGAGGTGGAGAAAAATTGCTGGTCCAGTTTCTGTGTATCCCTCAGCCTCCATGCTTTATCAGCTGCTCAGGGACGGTTGAGTGAGTCACTGCTTCTCTGAGCCAGGCAGGTCTCCAGGCCACAGTGTCCGAGCCTTCCCACCTAGTCTGCCTCACTGAAAGTTGTGTGCTCACAGCGGCTCTTCTGACCACCCTGCTTGTTCTCTTCCCACTCAAGCTCCTGATGCAGCTGCTGACTGCAGACCCCCTGTACTGCCTGGGGAAGGGAGTCCGACCCTCCTGTAGCAGATGGGCGGAATAGCTACAAGAAGATTTGAAGGGGGCCAAAACTAACAGTGCTTCCAGATGAGGGTGATATTAGAGCCAAGATCATCACTGGGGCAGGGTATCTTGTTCTTAGTTTTACAACCCAAAAAAGTACACAGAAGATTCAAAGATCATTTGGGAAGGAGGAATAAAATCAGGGGAAAAAAACAAAAAACGACAACAGGAAAATGGGACCAGTTTGGAAAAAAAAAAAAAAAAGAATTGAATTTCTTTATTCCCAAAGACAGAAAACAGAGACCTTTTTTTGGTATGGAGAGAGCACTGGATCTCTGAATGGTAGTTCTCTTCTCCATTTCCCCTAGCTAACAAAGGAGAGAATTCTAGATTTGGAGAGAAAAAGGGGCAAAGGATGAGAGCAAGAAAGGGTGGGGGAGAGGGAATGAGAGTATAAGGAGAATCTGACCAAGGAACAGAAAATAAGGGAGGATGTAACAAAAAGGAAGAAAACGATCAAGAAAATGTTGTCTTTCCTTATCTGCTACAGAAATAAATTTAGTAGAAATTTATTTGGAACCAACCATGTCTGGTTCTCTTATCTTTCTGCAGTGCAGATCAGCCTAAAATTTATTAAAATTGCTGAAAACCATAGCAATCAATTTGTACTGATTCAGAGTGTTGACTGGGATCAGCTGGGTGGCTCTCAGGCAGTCTATGGGGTCTGATGGTGGCTGAGACTGGAGCCATCTCTAAGGCTTCCTCCCTCTGTGTCCTGTGGTTGATATTGGTCCTTCCTGTGACCTCAGATGGACAGCTGCATGAAGTCATTGCACGTGGTCTGAGCCTCCTCACAGCATCTCATGCTAGCCCTTCTTACATGGCTGCTCAGGGGTCCAATGATGAGTGTTCCAAGAAAACAAGGTATGAGCTGAATCTTCCTTTCCAGTCATACGTTCTATGGTCCTCCAGTTACTGAAGTATGCTCAGACTCCTAGGTAGGGTACCAGGATGCCTTCTCTGGATTTAAGGAGTGTTAAAGAACCTGTGGATCTGACTTAAAACTGCGAAAATGTCCAATCACAGTGTCAGATGCTTCCAACATCTAACTTCCAGCCGTTTCTGTCTAGTTGGAGCTGTAAAATTCCACCAAAGATCCAGTGGAAAGTATTGAAGTATCCATTTGCCAGGGGAGGGAGGTGATAGAAGAGCGAATACCAAGCAGGGCTCAAGATGAACACTGCATGCTCAGAGATCACAGGCAGAGTGGGTAGGAAGACGGGTGGTCACTTATCACTGGAGAGCACTGAAGGCCAGCAGGATACAGTGACACAGTGGCCAACATCCTCTAACTCTGAAGCGGGGTGTTGCCAGTTTTATTCACTCCTATGTGTTTGTTCTCCATAACTTACCTGCTCATTACCTCTTTCCTTCTGCCTCACCTGGCTCCTACCAACTGTTCTTTCTTTTCACTGAAATATTCTGTTACGGTCTGAAAACTCTTCTGCATCCTTCATACCCCTGGGTCATGACTTTATCCTTTGGGCCATAAAGTCCCATCCCCTTCCCTACTTTTTTGCTGCTCCATTACCATCTTTCAGATCACTGAACTTCTCTCTGCTTTTCTTGTCCATTCCTCAGTTGATTACCTGAAACAGGCCTTTTTATTTTGTTTTCCTCCTTTTTGGCCACTGTCTCCTGCCTTTTAAATCATATCCTGTATTTGACATCTCATGCCTTTCTTCCCTGCTCTGATCTATCTTATTATAGGAGCCTGTTGCCCAGCACAGAATCACAGGACGTCGGATCCAGGTGCACAGAATACCCGGCACCTCCGCCAGAGACACACAGCCGTCTTCCTGGGGTTGTGGAAGGGGGGCAGTTGTGGCTTGCACCGGGCCAAGGATTTTCAGGTGAGATTTGCTGTCCCATTTCTCACCTTGCTTTGGTAAGCATTTCCTACATTCCATCAACACTAAAATTACTTTTCTCTTCATCTGGGCTTTGAATATCCCAATACCACCCACTGTGGAATTCACTTTTTAATCCTCATGTAGGCTGGGTTTCTTTTCTTATCCTAGTACAAAAACGATAGGTATCTACTACTTCTCTTACATAGAGAAGTAAAAGTTAAACAAACATTATAGATAGAAAGATTGTTAATACCTTGATGTGGGGCTTTCTTTCCTCCCTTCCCCAACTACATTTATGCTTTTTATGTTTTTGGTACTGAGACATGAACCCAGCGATGCTTTATCACTGAGCTACATTCTCAGCCCTTTTCATCATTTATTTTGAGATAGGGTCTCATTAATTGCAGAGTGTCTTGCTAAATTGCTGAGGCTGGCCTCTAATTTGTGATCTTCCTGATTCAGACACCTGATTCGCTGGGATTAAGGCAGGCACCACCACACCTGGCTATATTTATGGTCTTTTAGAGACAAAAATATCACCCACTCAGATGGTCAGTACTTTCTTCCAAGCCACTTGCTGCTTTGTAGAACCAGTTTTACAGTTCTCTATTCCCTGGCCCCAGCTAACTGGAATGGAGCTGGACATCTGAATCCCAGTGGACTGATATCTGTTCTGTCCATGAGATTAAATCACATGGCATCTTGGACTACAGTGACTGGTGTGGAACTGGGATGGGATGCTTGCTTCCTTACCTCATATCTGTCTTCAATGGAGCAGTGCCTATGGGACTTTACCAATGACTGTGCAAGATGAACTTTTTGTTTAAATCTGCTTTCCTCACTGAATAATGTACCATAACTTTTTCTATATGTCAAATATTCTCCCAGATTATAATTTTGATGAGTGTCCAATGATTACTGTTGATGTCTTGTTGATGTCTTTATGGGAGAAGTGCAATTAAGGGGTGAAGCTTGAACTCTGTGTTAAATAATACTGGATTCAAATACCTTCTATGGCCCTTGTTTGCTATATGATTTGGACAATTATTTAGATATTTTATGTCTTAGTTTCTTTGTTCATAAAATAGTAAAAAAGAAGGTTGAAGTGTATCATGAATCTTAAACTTCCCAGCACATTATCTGTCACAAAGGTAAGGGTTCAGTAATGCCACCTGGCACTAATAATAATCATAAACCTATTCTTTCTTATTGCTCACATAACACCCCACTATTTCTTTCTTTTTTAAAAAATATTTTTATTAGTTATTGATGGACCTTTATTTATTTATTTGTTTGTACGTGGTGCTGAGAATCGAACCCAGGGCCTCACACGTGCTAGGCAAGCGCTCTACCACTGAGCCCCAGCCCCAGCCCTGACCCCACTATTTTCTGCACAATTTAAACAGAACTTCAGTGAACATCCATACAGTTGAATATTTGTGCATGATTATTCCTTGAGCTAAATGCCTAGAAGTTGAAATAATGAATCAAAGATTATGAACATTAAAAAAGTTTAAAAATTGTTTTGTCATGTTATCTTTGATCTCTTCTAAAATTGTCCACCATTTTACCCTTTACCATCTTCTTCTTGGCTGCAGATTTGAAGACAGTATGTTCCTTTTGTATCCAGGATGTAGTTTGTGCTCATCTTCCAACAAAATTAAAACACTGTCACATCTGACCTTTGAGTGGAGGCTCTTTCAGGTAAATTTAATTAGATCAGTTAGCAATTCACTTACATGCCAGGTGCAGATTTAGTTTATGTATAGGTAAGTCTTATAGATTAGCTTTATATTTTGAGAACTTATTCTTGAATTGAGAGCTTTGGAGCCATTGTAGAAAGAGTACCAAACAGTAGGAAGTCAGATATTGACTAAGACTTATAATAAATATGACATTTTTTCCTCTCTAGAAAATTGAGACATCTGGAATGTAAGCATCATTATTTCTTGACCTTCCAGGAATAACCTTCTGCCTGTGGACCCTAGCTGGCTTCAAGGCTTGGAAAAATATATCAATATGAAGTTTTGTGAGAATTGCCTTTGAGTCACAGTGTTGGGCACTTTAGGAAGAAAAGGATAACCCAACAGAGTCCTTGACCTCAAGGAATGTACTGGGAAAATATATATGTACATAATTATAGAGCAAAGGAAATTTTGCTAGAATGTATGTAGGCACCTGTAAGAAAATTTCAGAGTTAACTACTTCAAGAGCTGAGGCTGTGCATTTAGCCATTTGGTCCTTGATGATTTTGTTTTGTTGGGTCCCAAATTATAGATTTAATTTTTAAAAAGTTTCCAACAATGAACAACTGGCAATTTTTAGGTAAAAATTCAGATTTCTGTCTTACCTTGAAAAAATGGAGGAATTGGCAATAATGAGCCCCCATTCCACCATAGCAATAGTGAAGAAAGGCTGACCTTTAGGCCAATAAGATTTCCTTTTTTTTGCCACAGTCCCTACCACTCCTTACTATCTTGTAATGTACTACTTCCCTCATTTGTGCTATCTGTGTATGCCATGTGATTTATGGTTGTGACTTAGCAGAAGGAGGCCCTTGTTCTTTCACAGGGTATCAGAGAAAGCTCAGAAAAATCTGGTAGAAGGGAGGCCTGCTGGCTGAGCAGGGATTTTCTGTGTTTGTAGATAGACAGTGAAGCACTGAAGTCAAATGGAATAGCTTGTCCAGAGGTGTGGGGCTTGAGCACAGAAGGTCCACTTGGATAGTGACACCCACACAGGATGGCAAAAGTGTTTGATATTTGAGGAAAGGGGTTCAGAAAAAGGGAGAACTGGTGAAGTATACACAAGTCCCAACTCATGCACAGCATGGCATACCAAAATGAAGACTTTGGAATTTGGCCAACAAGAACTAGATGGAATGATGGATAGGATGACAGCTAACATAGTTTCTAACAATGCCCTGCATCCATGCTGGTGCCATGCCAACCATGTCTTGTGTAGGATCTCACTAAATCCTGACTCCAAGAACATGAGACATGTCACTGATGAGAAAGTTCAAGTACGGGGAGATGTTTAAATGACTTTCCCAAGGTCACAACCAGTAAATGATAAAGCAGGAAGTGGGCCCATAGCCTCATTATAGGATTTGCAACCTTACTGTTAGTGTCCTCTGCTTCTCAGATGGATCAATGCTGTAGAATAGGTACTCTGGCATTAGAAGTGAGTGCAGGAGGCTCAGAGAACCGGGCATTGGAGGCCACTGCATGGCCATGCAAGACAGCCAAAGGTCCTCCACCAAGGAGGCCTTAATACTAGCACTGAGCAGGGGTGAATGTGAGGAACATTGACCGTGGGATCTTCCTTTATGGAGCCTGCCAGCTATGGAATTTTTTCCTCCTCCTTTAAATTCTCAGAGTACTCTGTGTCTTTTCCCCAGGTCCTGCTTGTGTCATGTACCCTAACAGCTGTTTGCCTCTTATCACATCTAGGGTATTTTGAGTTCCTTAAGGGCAGGAGGAATTATTCTTTATTTGCTTTCATATATATATTTTTTTGCATTGCTGAGCACAATGCCTTGGTAAATGAATGAATTCCAAGATTATCTTTTTCAGATCATTTCTCCTCATGTACACATTTTTAGAAGTTAGTGGCAAGTTAAATACTCTTTTTTCTTAAAGATAGAATAATTTCCTTACACCATCTACTTGAAATTATTTTCAAATACAAGGAAAAGTAAGACCAAGAAGTTGTTATAAACAGCAAACCCTTTAAGAGTCAATGTCACATTTATTGCTATAAAATATTTTTCTCTCTCTGTTCGACATCTGGTTCCCATTACATACAGTATTTGGTACTTGAGTTCACCAGCCATTTTGCATACCAAGCAGCATGCACACAAAATCCCCACCGACATCCGCCAGTACACATTTGCACCAGGTAATTCTTACTTTCCATTTACAGACAACCCTTCTGTAACCAACTTAATGCTTACCCATACATTTTTGAAGTTATGTTTTCATATTTACCTTCAGGACCAAATTGCCTACATCTGAGAAATTAAGAACTACAAAACCCTGAAGCCTTTGCTTTCTGTCATTGTATGGCCCCAACTATCTATAATCTAGCACTGAAGTCAATGAAACATCTCAATCTTAAGTCTATATTTCCTAGTTACATTGACCCAGAAATGAGAAACACAATATGGAATGTTTGCTAATGAGTCATGAATTTCATTATAATTGCTTCCACATTCAGGATAGCTCCCTTAAACCATCTAATCTTGACATATCCTGCTACAATCCCATGTGTTGTAAATGATTTTGTTTTATTTCTTAGGTTACTGTTAAGGGCTTATTTTCTGGTTCATTTCTTTTTCTTAAAGAAAACCACACACTTGTGTGAACCCGCACACACACACTCAGACACTGTGCATACAACAGGCCACTGTGGCTTTTGCCTCAATCTGTATTTTTTTAAAAATAAAATAATTATGAAACAAAAAAAGAGCCCTCGTCGTTTGGTTTGGAAGTAAAAATAAACACTCGTGAAGACAGCCGAAATATGGTCTAGTTTAAAGTCCTCATTCAGGTCTCTGAGAATTACAGCCAGAATTGAGCAATGGCCCAGCAAACAGCAATCTGTCCCCTCCACGGACCTCAGAATCCATAATGGAATAGACAGACACAACCAGCATTCAGTACAGTAATAATGGAAAATTAAATACGACTTTTAAAAACTGCTCACATTATAAAGTGATCTATTAGCGTTATACGACTTCAGCACTTAAAGTGACTGATTCTAATTGCAAGATTTGGCCCACAGCAAGCATTAAAGAGCTGCAAGATCTTGAAGGCATTTTATTTCTTTTGGGATATTTTAAAGTGGGTTTTCTTTGGAATCAAGCTTTATTTCTGCTGCATAAAAGATTGTGTGGATGAAATGTCTCAGATAGAACCAGAGGTAATTATAGATTTTCCTCTTTGATTTCAAACTGTTTGTCCAACAGCCAAACTGTCTTACTAAAGCATGCCTGTGTG